AAAAAAAAAAAAAATAATAATTGCCAGACATGGGCGTGGTGGCATGTGCCTGTTGCCTCAGCTACTCGAGAGGCTGAGGAGGGAGGATCACTTGAACCCAGAGGCAAAGGTTGCAGTGAGCCGAGATCACGCCACTGTACCCCAGCCTGGGTGACAGAGTGAGACCCTGCATCAAAAAAATAAAATAAAATAAAAATAAAAATAACAGAACTTGATAGTCTATTAATGTCACGATATGCTACTCAATATTGTATATGCCCAAACATAAATCAATAAGTTCTGCCTCATTTTTTTGTTATCTAGATGGATAAATGATTATGTTCAATTAACTCTTATGCTAATTATGCAATGTATTTTGCAAACAACCCAAATAATGCCAATTTAAATAGAATCCTGTTAAATATTTTCCTATATAAATCTTAGTTGCTTTTATTATAGTGTCTCTTCTGTGCTTTGTGGTATTATATAGGTTTCAGTTTATAATAATGGTACAAATTGGACCAATTCTACAAATGTTTACACATAAAGGGCTTGTTTTTGAAAACATGTCAATAGTCATTTACTACAAAAAGGTGGGGTTTAGCAACAATAAAATACATTTTCTGTTTCCTCATAAAATGTCAACATTTCGTCCATGTAAGCAGTTTATATAGAACATCTGGATCTTTTCACAAAAACACTAAATGCCTATAAATCCTTGACAACTATGTCAATTTGGAATGTCTGCTAGCAAACCCTAGCCAAAATCCTATTGTAATTAGTGATAGCTAAGAGGAATATTAAAAAAGACATGGTACATATTCCTTCTTCTGCTTTTGGAAGTTTCTCACAGATTGTGTCAAAACACTAGAACGCTTTCTACTCTAGGTCACTAGTCTCTAACTCTCTATAGTTTGGATTCAAGACCGTTACCAGACAAATGCCTTGCATGAGGATTCTAAGCCTATGTGAACCTCGCTTCCACTGGTGTAGATCTCACTTTCTTGCACCTGGTCTGTCACCTGGGAAAGCAGCTTCCCAATCACATTGGCAGTGTGAACTGCCATGCCAACTGCTTCTTCTGAGACTCCTGCTGAGAGAAAAGCCTGATGCTGCTGAGAAAGATATATGTTCTGTCCAGTAATCTTTTTGGTAAATTGGTACCAAATGTAGCCTATGATCTTATGAGTCTCAAGGTTTACCTGAATTCAAAGACCCCTGGTGGATGTTGGCCCTGTACAAAAGCAATTTTTGAAAGACAAATGTCTAGAGTTTGGTTCCAAGTGTAAGAAGAGCTTAAAATAATTGCTAATATCTATTATATGCTGTAGTATGCAGCTGACATAAA